TTTAATAAAGGGTTTTTTTTAGAGCATTTCTAGATTCACAGCAAAGTCAGGAGGAAGGCAGAGATTTCTCACGCGTCCCCTGCTCCCCACACGTGCAGGCTCCCCAGTGTCAATACCCTCATCAGAGTGGGGCTGTTTTCACGATCAGTGGGCCTTCATTCATGCACTGTAAACACTCCAGAGTTCATGGTTTATTTTGCACATTCTGTGGGTTTGGATGAACGTCTAATGACATGCATTCACCATTGTAATACCCAGAGTAGTTTCACTGCCCTAAAAATGCCCTGGGCCCCACCTATTCACTCAGTTTTTAGCAAACCTGTTTGGAGGACATACTACCAGCCAGACAGTGTGGTAGGTGTGGGCTGTGAGCTCAGCTTACAATATCCCCTGCCTTTCGCTGCCAGAGACGAGTGTGTGAACAGCTCAGTGGATTGGAGCATCACAGGTGTTACAGTGAAGTTCTGTAAAAGGTACCACACTCATCTTTATGTTCTTTCCTTTCATTATTCTAGGTTCTCTACACAGCGTTCCCTAAGAAATCCTTCTTGCCGTGGAGGCTGATGAAGAACATCAAAGATTAAAGAACAGTAACAAACATAGCAAGGAAATATTTCAGTTCAATGTAACCAGTGACTTCCCCCTCAAATTTCTGATTACTTTTCATCTTCCCAGCTCTCTGGGTACAAGTTAAAATACCCCAGTTAGTGTCTTCGGAGTCATCAGATATGTAACCCCCTTGCAGGCATTTTGCTGACTTTTCCCTTTTTTGGACAGGCCGCATTTTAATACTGTCTGAACGTGTGTGAAGCCCCCATAAATTCTGTTCTCTGTATATGTTTAAGACCCAACCAAAGTGGGCTTTTGTTTTTAAAGCTTGCTATATTTGTACTTTTAATTTAACATTAGTGGGACATCTGCCAAGCTAATATAGACACTTCTCTATGCACTGGAAAACCCAATTAGGACTTGTTCTGAGTTTGATTATCAGTCAGAAACATGCATGCAGAAATATTCATTACAGAGCTGCTGGGAGCTGAGATAAAGCAGCAGATGGCCGAGTAACAGAGTTGCTGTCACTCTCCCCCAACACAGTTTCATATTTGCTTCATAAAAGACAGGTGACCAAATATCATCAGGGGGACGCGGTGCCCGCGGGAGGCTCACCACGCGCTGACGGCGTCGTCCTCTCTTTAGGATGTACCGAGCGTTTCCTGCCACGGTCAAAGACCCAGAGGAGAGCACCAGGGACCACAGCCCGTTCCCCGCTGGGCTGGTTTGCAGCTCCCCTGTGGGTGTGCTTTCAGCTTTAATTGGGGATTTTTGAAGACCGCGTATAGGGTACCTGAAGGCAGGTGTGGGGCTGGGGATGTTGCCTAAATGCTTACTCAGTGAGGCACCTCGATGTGGCAGCTGCCCACCTTCTGAACATGGGATTGCCATTTTGCCCAGCATTTCCCCTATAGAGTTATCTGGTACTGGTCATTACGTGTGGATTTGATGTGATCCACGAAGTAGTCCCAGACATTCAAGAGGACTTGGAGAGACTCAGAACTGGGCCCAGGACTCCTTGATAGGGATGAGGAGCAGAAAGACGCAGATGGCTTGAAGGATCGGGGTGCTGCCCGGGATGGGGTTCAGTACAGAGCGCATGGAGGGGGGCTGGGCAGCCACGCCCAAGCGTGAGGACTGAGGGGGCAGGGAGCAGAGGGAGCCCAAGGAGGGAGGGCAGCAGGTGCATTGGGCTTTCTTTCTTGAGACTGCTGTTTGGTCTAGGTTTTGAGGTTGCTCAGAGTGCTTTTCTAAAATGAGATTATTTTGCATCAATCAATAGAATTTTGTGAACTCAGCAAACTAAATTAATATCACCATCCAGAATGGTAGATGGGCAACTTTGTCTACCTCCATGAAGGCTGGGCTTATGAAGTAACCTGAGTATTCCTTTTGGAGCTTCTTAATTGTCCTGTGCTCCCAGTCTGGCTCAGGTCAACTGTGCACGTCTTTCTGGCATAAGCTGCTTCCACATGGTCAGGGCCGAGCGCCCAAGCTCTCGTGGAGTTGTCAGCTGATAGGATCAAAGACTTTGAGCAGTTTACTTGAAAAGCATTTGAGTAATTTGGCTCCTAATGGCTTCAGTATGTTTGCTATTTCAAACATTAAATCTATTACTTTGAAATGAAAGAAAGGAAAAAATAACGTTCTTATTGGTTGTTCCATTAAGCAATGTCCATTTCCTGCATTAACTAAGGAACCAAATCAAAGAACACAACCTTCAAGGCCCCACAACAGTGTGTCTGAAAATGATTAATCTTATTTGGAAGGAAAAAAAAAAGGAGGCAGAATTTGTGTTTTTCTAAAGTAGGTAGGCTGTTTTCTGTCTATCCGTGTAACACTCCCCAAATGATGAATAGAAATAATGGACGTCTTGTAAGACCAGAGATCTCAAGATACTCAGGATTGGGACAGGCCCATGTTCCTAAACTTTAAGTATCTTCATAGGATTTGAGGTGTTTGGTGATAATTCAGGTGCTAACCCACTCTGCTGGCATATTTAGTAATGGTAAACACTTGACTCTGGACGGGTAACAACATTTTTTTTTTTTTTAATTTTATGATGTTATGTTAATCCCCATACATGACATCGTTAGTTTTTGATGTAGTGTTCCATGATTCATTGTTTGTGCATAACACCCAGTGCTCCATGCAGAACGTGCCCTCTTTAATACCCATCACCAGGCTAACCCATCCTCCACCCCCATCCCCTCTAGAACCCTCAGCTTATTTTTCAGAGTCCATCATCTCTCATGGTTCGTCTTCCCCTCCAGAAGACATTTGGAAACCATGCTGTACTCTGTTCATGTAGCAGCAGTGAGTGCTCTGCCTAACGGGGACTAGCTTTACAGTTCCTTCTGGAAAGGCCAAGAAGATGACCTAGCATTTACAACTTTTGTTTTGCCAGGATGGCAGCACAGGGTTACAGGGCTTCCAGGGAGAGAGTCTCCTCCTCATCCCATCACTGTCTGGGACATGCTTTTGAAGGAATGAGGGCCTTGTCCTATCATATCCATGGGCATCAGTCCCACTGGAGTCCCAGAGGAAAAGGCCAGGTAAGGTGAGATTTCTTTTTTTTTTTTTTTTTTTTTTTTTAAGATTTTTTTTTTTATTTATTAATTTGAGACAGAGAGAATGAGATACAGAGAGCATGAGAGGGAGGAGGGTCAGAGGGAGAAGCAGACTCCCCGCCGAGCAGGGAGCCCGATGCGGGACTCGATCCCGGGACTCCAGGATCATGACCTGAGCCGAAGGCAGTCGCTTAACCAACTGAGCCACCCAGGCGCCCTAAGGTGAGATTTCTAATAGCAAGGTAGAATTTCCTGGCATCGATCAGCGGTGAGTATGAAAATTCTTTACCAAAAATGACAATTTGAAATTGACTTTAGTGGGACAAGAAGCACTCTCTCACCCTGGTTCTTGATTAAGCATTTGGGGTGTGTCTAGGTGGTTTTGAGGGTGCTCCTATGGGGACATGTGGCCTTTACTCCAAAGATTAGGCTGAGAATTCTAGAGGAAATCTCCTTCCCTGAACTTACAGGGAAATTCAAGATAAAGTTGAATAAACCATACACATTTTTACGCGTATTGACACAATTTTGTGTTGCTCTTGTTGACTGCTATACTTCTGTTCTCTCCAAACCTGTAGTAATATCTCAGTATTCCAACCCAGTTCACCTGGGCATTAAGGGAAAAGGTATGAGTTCCTGCTGGTCTAGGGCAGTGGCTCCCACATGGGGAAGAGGGGACGCTGACAATGTCTAGAGGCATTGTTTTCTTGACGTGGATGGATGAGGGATGCTACAGGCATCTAGTGGATAGAGGGCGGGGTTACTGCTAAACATTTTACACCGCACTGGACAACCCCCCCAAAACAAAGAAGTACCCAGCCCGACATGTCAAGAGCACCACAATTGAGAAGCTGTGGTCTAGAGTCTTAAATGGAAGGCAGTGTTTGCTAAAGTAGCTTGGTTTTGGTTAACAGCAGTAATTAGTTAGGAATCACCAAAGAAGAAAGTAAAATTCAAGACATAAAAACGCAAACTTTTGTTGTGTGAATATCTTCTCCCAGGGGTTTTGCTGCAAAACCTGGATATTTAAGGTTGGTTTAGTTTTGTTTTTGTTTTTATAAGGTGATAAGTTTCTTCAAAAACAGGCTGGACATATAGGCATCTTGAGCCTGGTTAGTAGTAGGGACTGTACCAGCTTTCAGAGTCGATTCCAGGTCATTGGACAGGTGGAAACTTGATTAGTACAATTGTTTTTACTGAGATTCAACATTGCTCTGTGCCAGGGTCTGTGCTAAGCTCTTCACATGCAATCTCATGCACACCGCCCAGCAAGCCTTCTAAATAAGGAGGAATTTTACTTATTATTAAGAGGAAGAAGCAAAGGCTCAGTTTAATGAATTTTTCCAGGATCTTAAGTTAGTGAGTATACATCTGAGATGCTCCATTCTCTTCCAATTTTACCAGAATCCCACTGTCACCTTTGTCATTAGCTCTAGTTGTGAGCCACACAGAATGTCTACCATTCCTCCAATTTCTGCATTTATAGGACTGCTCCGACCTCACCTCAAGGTTGTGCACTCCCAGCTAACTTTAGGAGCACTATCTCCTAACTCACGGCAAGAGAGTCAATTCTTTACCCAGTTTGAGTTTCCTCTTCGTGAAACTCCCTCTGGCCATGACCCTCCCCTAACGGGAGGCATCCCTGTTCCACCTGCGGTCAGAGTGGGGAGGCCGGCAGGAAAGCCGTGTCCCTCGATGAGCAAACACTGTATCTCTTTTATCAGACTGACTCCAGGCACCTTGTATAAGGAGCTACTGGTCTTTAATTATCTCCAAACATCTAAAGTGCTGCAGAATGAGGTTGTCATACACACACACAAATATATAACATAAAAATAAAAGTTGTATGCACTTGTAAATATATGTATATTTGATTTATTTGATCTCTAAAATAATATTTATTTTAAACATTAGGTATAGGTACCCTTACAGATGTAGTTGATATAGATGCAGATGCAGATATACATATAAATGATCTAGATCTAAACTGACTTTAGGCAGGAAGAACAGCCTGGATAAAAGCACAGAGAACTTCTGGGGAATTCTGCTTCTTATGTATTTGGCATGCAATTGATGGGGTGGAGGTGATACGGATCTTCAATTATGGTACCCGTGTTTGCTATTTATTTCCTTATCATTTAAAAATTGCATTTGGGTTTAGCCTCCTGTTCTCATTCCAGCCTCTTAAATTACAGTCTCCGCTCATCAATTATTGGTCCTTTTATAAGGAAAACATTCATAATTACACACCTCCTACAATCAGCCTCTCAGCTGCATCCCAGAAGTCCCATATGTAGTATTGTCATCATCATGCTTGTGATATTTTATGTCTTCCTGTTATTTCTTCTTTGACCCATGAATTATTAAGAAATGTGTTTTTCAATCGACAATGATATGTTTTTCAGAGTCTGCTTTCTATTATTGATTTTTAACTTAATTTCTTTTTTCAGGTGATTTATTCGGATGGTATTCATGTGCCTATCTTAAATGTTCCTGTTGCCTAGTATTTGAATTCCATTATGTTTATCCATAAAGTTACCAATTATTATTATTTTAAATGTTGTAAAGTCAGCGCTTGTTTATATTCACCCACATTTACCGGGTTTTTTGCTCTCGGTTTCTTCTGACATCACCGTCTCCCTTGTAGGATCAATTTTTATTTTTCCCTTTACATGTTGCTGTAGTGAGAGTTTGGAGCAAATCCTTTTAGAGATCTGAATTTTGGTGTATGGGTTTCATATATACACAAATGTATGTAAATACGTGTATATATGTGTGTCCTCTCAGAATGCTCAGTCCTTATGAGCTCGGAGCCCGCGTCCTGGGCCAGCACAGGCAGGCCCTGTTCTGAAGATCCGGAGGTGCAGTGTAGTCCTGACCCTCAAGCAATTCACGGGGCCGCGCAGAACGATCCAGGAGAGGCAACCAAGAGAAGAGAGCAACCATGACAGCCCCTGGGAAGGGGCGGCTGGAGCTGAGCACTAACGCAGACCCGGGGAAACGAAGAGGCATTAATGTGCGCCCAGGCGCAGGGTGTGGGGGCGCGCTCCGCAGCGGGGCTCGCCGGGGAACCCCGAGATGTCTCCAGGGAGGTGGGGGCGCCCCGCGGCCACTGCACCTGGCAACAGTGCTGAGACGAGTTCCACCAAGGCCCCTCGTCTGAGGGCCACCCATGCAACCAGAATGGTGATAGCTCGACTTCAAACTCTTGTGGCAGACGCCGATTGCGCGGAGCTTGTCTGCGGCTGGTGCTTACTCGACAGGCGCTGGTTCCCCTCCACCTGCCTCACTCCACCTGCTGAGGAAACGTCCAGATTCGCCAGCCCTTTCACAGTGTTTTCAGCAGTGGTTCTCAAAACGACCATGGGACTTTGATGCGCAGCCCGGAGATTCTGATTTTTTTGGTTTGGGGCTTGGCCTGGACAACCGTACTTTTTTTTTTTTTTTTTTTAAGTTTTCCAGACGACTCTGATGTGCATCAGTGTTAAGAACCACCGGCTTACACGCTGTGAATTGTGCAAGACTGTTGACTCTCAGATCTGTACCTCTGAAACAAATAATGCAATATATGTTAAGAAAAAAAAAGAAGAAGAAGGTAGCAGGAGGGGAAGAATGAAGCAGGGAAATCGGAGGGGTAGACGAACCATGAGAGACGATGGACTCTGAAAAACAAACTGAGGGTTCTAGAGGGGAGGGGGGTGGGAGGATGGGTTAGCCTGGTGGTGGGTATTGAGGAGGGCACATTCTGCATGGAGCACTGGGTGTTATGCACAAACAATGAATCATGGAACACTTCATCTAAAATTAATGATGTAATGTATGGGGATTAACATAAGAATAAAAATAAATAAATAAATAAATAAATAAGAAAAAGAAAAGAACCACCGGCTTACAGTCTCTGATGCTTCCATCAGCTTTTCTCAACAGGGTTCTACACTCATCTTAGCCAAAAGGCCAAGAAGCGATCAACAGGGTTCTACAAAACAATTAAGCCCCACAGAAAATTATTTGATTGGTTATCTTCTCCATTTTTCCAAAGATGGTGTGGAGGTAGTAACATTCTAGTGCATGGGAGATGAATCAGTTCGTTACCACAGACGATGCCTGGGGCATTAGGCTGGATTCTCTAGTGGACAGAGGTGATGTTTATGATGTTCAAAAGCTATATTCAACAGCTAATGGGTTAGCGAGCTGATTCTCTACAGGAGGAAGAAAAGCCCTGAGTGGTTGCATCTGCCACGTTCTGTGGTGGAAATACTCCTACCATGGATTTCACCTTGCAAAATTCCTGAAGAGTTAAAAAATAACTTCCACGTCTTGGTCGCACAAATTGGCAGGACCTGCCTATGGGACACACTTCATTTCTTGAGAAATTGGTCTATTTAGCCATGAAACTGTTTTGGAGGCCATATGGTGGTGGTTGTTCTTGGATTTCATCAAAGCAGCTCAAGTGTATATTTCATACCAATGTAGCCTGGAAGATAAGAGCTGGATTCGCACTCACGCTCTCTCCCAGGCCTGTCCTGCTCTTTCCTTTCAGCTTCTTTGTTCTAATTGTTTTTATATTGGGTATAACCCAATATTTTCCTTAAAAGTAGTTTTTTGTTTTTCGTTGTTTTTTTTTTTTTTTAACCAAAGAACAAGGTGATTTTTTTTTTTTCTTCTTCGATTATCCACTCCCAGAATGTACTGTACGAACAGAGCATCCCACAGCTGACAAAGACAACCTCTACAGCTTCCCAGTAAAAAATGAGAAAATCGGCATTTGGAAGATGAGGGGGACTCTCTGTATCCTGCATTGAGTTAGGGACAGATCTGAGACTAGTGCATCTGTCCACCTGATTCTGAAATGGTTAGGTTTAGTTAAACATTTATTGGACTTTGGCATGTTTCTAGATGTTATCTCCTAAAAATGGATAATATCAAAACTTTGACCTAATTTTACTTAGAGCCTAATCAAACGGAGAAATATGTGAATAAGTCATTCCGACATGTTATATTTAGTACAAAAAAAGGGGTACGTTTTTCCTAGGGAAGGACCAGGAAGGACAGAATTCAGTGGAGGAGAGGGCCGGGGGTACACAGAGGAATCCTCCTGGAGGTCAGGACCCATTGCCGATGGCCCATGGGCAAGTCACGGGGTATATGTGGTGGCTGGGAGAAGGGAGAACAAGGGATACTCCTGGCCAAGGACTCAAGAGCTTTGTCAAGTAAACTCTTGTAAAAATAAATTATTTTAAATTTAAATTGAATTATTCTTCAGAGTTAAAAAACAATGTTTCTCTCTCTCCCCCTCTCTCCCTCTTTTTAAATATCACTTTACATTTGCCTGGATTTTTTTTTCTTTGATTTTTATAGTGGAAGATAAATGACAGGAAAGAAATTCGATCTGTCTGACCAGGCTTTAGTAAACGTCTCTGTACAATGCTATTGTGGTGACAAGCAAACTTTGCAAAAGAAGGAAGCTCACATGGGAAACTCCAAAAAATCATTAAAAATAATAATTAAAAACTCTTCTCTGTACAGTCATTTTGGAGAAAAGCTTGGTAATTTCTTGTAAAACTACCCATATTCTTGCCATATGAGCCAGCAGTCATGCTCTTTGGTATTTACTCAAAGGAGGTAAAAAACTTATGTCCACACAAAAACCTACACACGATGTGTACAGCAGCTTTATTGATAGTTGACATTTGAAAGCAACCAAGATGTTCTTCAGTAGGTGAATAAATAAAATGTGAAACATCCAGACAATGGAATATTATTCAGCGCTAAAAAGCAATGAGCTACAAGCCATGAAAAGACATGGAGGAAAATTAAATGCCTATTCCTAAGTGAAATAACGAAATCTGAAAAGGCTATAGGCTGTGTGCTTTCAACTATGTGATATTCTAGAAGAGTCAAAATTATCGACTCAGTAAAAAGATCAGTGGTTGCCAGGGGCTGGTTGGGAGGGATGAATAGGCAGAGCCCAGAGAATTTTTAGTCAGTGAAAGTACTCCATATGATATTATAATGGTGGGGATGTGTCATTAAATATTTGTTCAAACTCATAAAATGTTCAACACCCAAATGAAATCCTTATGTAAGTGACGGTCTTTTAGGTGATAAGGGTGTGTCCTTGTGGGTCCACCAGTTGTGAAAAGTGTGTGTTCTGGTGAGGGATGCTGGTTGCAGAAGAGGCTGTGAGTCTGTGGGGCATAGCAACTCTGTACCTTCTCCTTAACATTGCTGTGAACAAAAAACTCCTCTAAGAAATAAAGTCTATTAAAAAAATAAAACTCTCCCTTCATCTCCATTCTAGCCCAGAAAGAACAGTACCTAAATGAGCATTTTTATGCTCAACGAGGAATTTATAGAACTTCTGAGAGGTCAAGTAACAATACTAAAAAAGAAACTCTTTGGAAAGTTTGAGAGAAAAAAAACCCAACAAAATAGACTGTTGCAATTGCACAACTGATGTATTTGACTGAAACCCTGTGTGATAGTTAATTTCTATGTCAAAAAATAAATGACATATAAATCAAAGAGTTGAAGAAGGGGAGAGTATTTGTGCACATAAGTTATTCTCTCCTATCTCTTTTAAGATGAAATGTAAATTATATCCTACATTTAAAAATTGAGCAGCAAGATTTGCATTTCTCATCAATGATTTTGTCATCACAACCTGCTTTGCCAAGAAGTTTATCTAAGTGCCATTTGGATATACTTCCTTTCCCTAGTACTTAGTCATCACTACATTGCCTACTTTATCTTTATTAATACTGATACTTTTTTATGGCATAGCATCAAACCTCAAAACCTTTATGGTTTATCATAACAAACATTCCGTGTCTGCTCAAGGATCTGGAGGTCTGCAGAACGTCTCCTGATCTTGCCTGGGGTGAGCTGGTCTTGGTTCCAAGCTCTGGATTGGGTTCAGGTTTGCTGGACATCCCCATGTTTCCTTGGTCCAGCTTCTAGAAGGGGTAGCTTCCTAATGGCAGGTGCATGGTTGAAGTTCCTATTCGAAACAATCTGCCACCACTGCATAAGTCACAGCCCAGCATCAAGGTGGGAGGAACATGCTGTACTGATGCAGTATCCTCAAAGTCACAGAGCAAAGAGAGGGACTGATTACCTCAGAGCACCAATCCGATCAATTAAAAATGGAATCTCTATAAATTTTCCTGCACTTTTCTTTGCTACTGCTACAAACCCACTTCCATTAGAATTGCATTTCTTAATCCATCTACGACACAGTCTCTTATTCTCATATATTTATTGCTACGAAATCTTTCATATGTCATTGTTCACTACACTTCTGCTAAAAAGTCATCAGGGTTATAAGGCAACTTTTCCAAAGACAGAGACCCAGTTCCCTGCATTTCTTCCCTCTGCTCTGATTTCCTCTGAAGTCGAATAAACTCCAACACAACCAGTCACAAAGGTGGTACCTAACATCCTCTCTGACCCCTTCTGACCCACGCCTCTCACTAATCTTATTCGAATGTTTTAACTTGCTCTTCTCACCTCGTCCATTCATTGTCCATCACTCCACCCGCTGAAGTCTGACTTTCTCCCTCCTCCCGGATGCTTTTACTGAACCTGCTCTCATTCAGGCATCGCGTGGTTCTCTGTCTTTATGCCATGAAATAGCTAAAATTCAGCTGGTACATTGTGCATCCCCTCATTTTGAAATGCTCTGCTTACTTCTTGCAGAAAGCCACATTCTCCTGGTCCCTGCTGTAGGATGGCACCCTCCTACCCTGCCTCCTCTGCTGGCCTTCCCACCTCCCGAATTCCTTCTGAGAGTGCATGTCCATTAGAGCCCTGGAGTAGAGCCTGCTCATCTGCATGGGATCTTGTCCTTCGGTGATCAGAGCTCCTGTCCTCCTTCCCGGCTGCTGCAACCCACAAGGCATGGCAGGCTGAATTCCTTCCAAACACTTCAGAGTTTGTCCCAAACTACAGGTCATCATCTTTCTCCATATACTTCTTTCTTTCCTTAAGTCTTTATCCTGGCCATTTGTATGGTCTCAAACAAGCTTGGGTAGTCCTGGCTGGCCCGGAGCCGTCTCGAAGTCCCCACGTTCCATCAGTCACCAAGTCTCAAGGGCTTTGTCTCCCCAGGACTTTTTTTTTTTTTTTTTTGCAAATCCTTTCCTCTTTCCTGTACCCAGTGCTCTACTAATAACAACTACCTGTGTTACTCATTTTCTAGGACCCAATCACTATGCTAGCACTTTGCTTTTCATGCCATGTTTTTCTTCTAAGGCAAGTATTAATCTTTCTAAACCATAGATGGGAAGATGGTCTCAGAGATTTGGAGGATGAGAAAAATCAGGCTCCAAGAAATTATGTAACTTGTTTGGGGGCTGTGATTTGTCAAGCTGACTGAACTAAAAGTCTAAGTGGGCTTTTAGTTCCGTCTTCACACTTTTTGTAGTTAAATAGTTACATAGTTTGCATTTGGTTTGAATACGGTGCTTCATCTCCAAATCTCTTGCTTCTATGAAGTTGATAGAAGTGATATTTGCTCAATGTTTACTATGTGCTGGGAGCTATGTCGGGTGCTAGAGACAGAAACGTGAGGAAGACCTTGTTCTGCCTTCAGCAGCTCACACATTCCCACCACTGACTAATAAAGACAAAGTTAGAATAAAGAAAAAGTTAGTAAATAACAATCTATCAATTTTGTTATTCTAGAAATTTGGTGACAAAGTAATTTGTATTATTATTAAACCCTTAAAATATTACATTTGGGGGCATTTATACAAGTTATCCAGGTGATTCCGGCCAGGAACCATGTTGAACAGAAACCACTAGGTATCCACTAATGGCGTCTTTACCTCCATTATCAGGACAACTTGCATCTGTTGCTTCAGACTTAGTTAATATGTCCCATTTATGACTTAACACTGAAAAAAAAAAAATCCAACAAGGCTCAAAACTGAAGTCAGACAGCTCAGGATGAGAGGAATTTTGCCAACCTGTCATCCTCTCAACAACATGCACTTCAAGGAAATTCACGTGTTAAACACATTCCCTCTCCCCCACCTTGTGAGATGTGGCCATATAGACTCTGGTTTTAAGTGGTAATCAGCAATAATGTATTGCTTGTTCCTTAATGTCAGTATTGGTGATTTAGTGATTAATTATCTGACTGCTGTGTAGTGCTTAAAATAATCCAAATGTATGAAGTAAATTAGTTGATCAGGAGGAAATTCTGTCATGCAAATTCATGCAATACAGACCCTCACTGTCACACTCATTGCTGACAACATAAGGGGGTCACCAGAGTGGCTGGCCCCTGTTAATTTATTTTCTCAGACACACCATACATATTCATGATATCCTGCTGTTTGTCTGTCACCTCAAAGAAGCCCGATCTTCGGAATCACAATTAACAGAAAATATGCACATTTAGCCAATGAGAAAGAGGAGGCTAGAAGAGTTGTGAATCTGATTTTATTTTATGTGTTTTTTTTTTTTTTCCGGATTTTACTACAGATTGGAAGCAACAGCTATTTGTCCATATGGTCTTAAATCGTTAGTTCATGGACAGTGAGGTACAAGACTCCTAGGCAAAAAAGTATTTGTGAAAGGGAAATATTTATTCATTCATTTTAAGGTCCCACAGTTTGCTAAACCACTAAACAGTCTACTCTAATCGACATTAAATGCCTGCCGATTGTGCCAGATAAGGAAATTGAACTAAGTGCCCAGGCACAACCCAGTGTGTGAGTGCCCACATCCCATCCTTCAGGCTAATGGATGGTGACAGGATCCTGATATCTCTGCCACTGTAATAACAGAGCCAGGGCAAGGGCATCTGTCAGATGCTGTGTGTTCACTTGGGCATTTCCTTCTCTCTAGGAATACAATGTGTTTCATTAGCAAAAAGATAGAAGACGGGATAATTACTTACTCCAGCAGAGATGCACCTTGCTCATCTAGATAGCTTCAACAGGGAGACACAGACAGAGGAAAAGAGACACATTCTGGATAACATACATTCTTTTCGAAGGTTGCATTCAACAAACATGGTTTTTTTGCAAGAATGAGACATTTCCTGAATGGACACTTGTTGCTTCATGGTAACATTGTAACCTTCATTGTTTTTAACTTCACATCAAAATCTCTGAAACAACATCTCCATCTGTGAAGGAAAAAAATAGCTTTAAAAAATGGAATTTGTCCATTTTTTTAGGATTTTATTTATTTATTTATTTGATAGAGAGAGACACAGAGAGAGAGGTAACACAAGCAGGGGGAGTAGGAGAGGGAGGGTGAAGCAGGCTTCCCGCTGAGCAGGGAGCACCATGCGGGGCTCGATCCCAGGACCCTGGGACCATCACCTGAGCCGAAGGCAGATGCTCAATGACTGAGCCACCAAGGCGCCCCCGTCCATGATTTCTGAGTAAAGAAATAGGGTAAGGGGTAAGGAGCAGAGTCATGTTATCTTCCTTCTAAAAAGACATGGAATATTAAACGGTGAAAAGTACATCACAAGTTTCCCCAAAGCCTTCATGTATCCTTTTAGACATGTACAAAGCACAGGATTAATTCCACTGGTAATATTTGTGTCAGGGCCTCACTGATTAATTTAATATTCTGATTGGACAAGCAGCAGAGTTTTAACGGCTGTTAACTTTTTGGCAAGTAGCTCTGGGAAGGCGGTAATGAGATTAACATTCAGAGGACAAATTTGTTTTTTGCTGTATTTAATTACAACTTTGACACCAAATAGTGTTCACTCTGAATTCTCTAGATAGGACACTCTTATCTGCATTTGTGTCACATGGTGGGGCCTGCTTTGAAAAAACTGTGGAAAATGGGGTCTTTATAAACTGCCCTCTGCAAGGTCAGGGGACGTTTATGAAGAAGGTCAGGAGTAGATGCTTGAAATTAAATTTAGATTCCTACAGTCAATCCTTGGTGGAATATAGATACAGTACTTAATCCTCATCCATACTTTAACTATTTACAAAATATTTTACAGTCATCATGTCATTTGATTATTCCGCAGAACTCTTTGAAGTAAGTTGCCTCATGGCTATTTTATAATTGAGCATGGTTGTAGATGTTGGGCTGAGGTCACGTACGTTTTGTTTGGAAAGCCTGAGCTGAAGCTCAGGTTTCATTGCATTGCATCCTGGAGTTTGGCAGTATAGAAAGGATGTGATTTTAGAAGCCTAGGGTCAGGGGCATCTGGGTGTCTCAGTCGGTTAAGCGTCTGCCTTCAGCTCAGGTCATGATCTCATGGTCCTGAGATCAAACCCCGCATCGGCTCCTTGCTCAGTGGGAAATCTGCTTCTCCCTCTCTCTCTGCTTACCGCTTCCCATGCTTGTGCTCTCTCTCATTGTCAAATAAAGAAATAAAATCTTAAAAGAAGCCTAGAGTCATTTATTCATTTATGGTCACCCCACTGTCAGGATTTGTAAATAGGCACTCTACTTTTCTCAGACAAGTTAGGAAGTAAAGGGAAAAATTGCCTTGTTTAAACTTCTGGAGGAAAATGAGTATTTTCTAAAGAATTAGAGGAAACTTCTAATTCAGAAAACACTGAGGAAACGGAATCAGTTATGTGTCTGGTCCTATATTTGGCACCAAATGCATTAGGGGATGGAGAACACAGCACACCTTGTCTTCTTTGTTCTCACCAGTATCAATGTAAGATCCCTCAAAGCCTTTTTCAAAATAAATAATCTATAATCTATATATTCTCAAGCATTCCTATATTTTAAGTTAATATACAACTACATACAAATAAGAAGTTATAATCATTCTTCAACTTTTTATTTTATTAAGTTTTTCTTTTTAATTTCAATTCCAGTATAGTTAACATGCAGTGCTGTATTACTTTCAGGTGTAAAATACAGTGATTCAACAATTCTATACATTACTCAATGCTCATCATGGTAAGTGTACCCTCAATCCCCTTTATCTATTTCTTCAATCCCCCCCCCACCAGCTACCTCCTCTCTGGTAACCATAAGTGTTAGTTAAAAGTCTGTGTCTCTCTCTCTCTTTTTCCTTTGTTCATTTGTTTTGTTTCTTAAATTCCTCATATGAATGAAATCATATGGCATTTGTCTTTCTCTGACTGGCTTACTTTGCTTAACATTATACTTTCTAGCTCTATCCATGTTGCAAATGGCAAGATTTCATTCTTTTCTATGACTAATATTCAATAGTATATAAACACCACATCTTCTTTATCCATTCATCTATGGATGGACACTCGGGCTATTTCTGTAGTTCAGCTATTGTAAATAATGCTGCAGGTATCCTTTCAAATTAGTATTTTTGTATTCTTTGGGTAAAGACCCAGTAGTGCAAATCCTGGAACCTCGGGTAGTTCTATTTTTGACTTGTTGAGAACCCTCCAGACTGCCTTGCACAGTGGCTGCCCTGGTTTGCCTTCCCACCAACAGTGCGCAAGGGCCCTGTTCTCTCCATATTTTCACCAACACTTGTTGTTTCTTGTGCATTCTTTAACTTTTTAAATTTCTTCACACTGTCTTATGAATGTGATAACATTTATTTTTTTGGTTAATAAGGTATTTGAATGGCAGTTGTATGTTCCAATGACTAAGTCTAGACAAGATATGGTGGACGGTACATACAACCTCATCACTACTCTGAATGCAAATCTTTCCAGCTTTTCCTTCCATCCATCCATCCATCCATCCATCCATCCATCCATCCATCCATCCATCAACAGTACTTATTGATCCTCTTATGTACCAGTTACTGAGATGACAAAATCCTTCAAGAAACTGATAGTCTAAATGTATGGTCTATGGATAACTTCTGTTTGTTTGTTTTTGCTTTTGTTTTTGTTTTATAAAAGTCAGTGTGATCAGTAAAGATTAATCAATTCCAGAAACTCTGGAATGTAATTTATTCATTCAGCAACTAGTTCATTCCACAGAGAGAATATATTAGCTATCATGCTTGAAATGGGTGAGGAAATTTAATTAGATAAGAACAAGAATATGTTTTAAAAATATTAAATAAAATGTCAAGCATATAGGACAATATTGGGTAATTTCATTGGCTCTGTTTCTTCTTCACATGAAAAATACTTTTTTAATATTGGTGTTTGAACAGAGAGGAAAGCTGATTAAAACAATCACATGATTGCGAGTAATTTCAGAAGTATTTGGCTGGTGCTTTTGGGGGCATGTTGACGTTCTGTGTGTTCATACAACTGGCATGTATTCCACAGTTTGAGTGTGCAGTGTTGTTCCGGAAGTGCTATCTACCCTTGGCTAACTGTCACTGACGTGTTGCCGTGTCGAGAGCATGATGGACACCCAGGTATCCGTTGAGGTATGATGTGTCCATTCACTGCCCTGTTTGGTGGCTTGTGCAGAAAATTCACAGTGTGAACTGGTGGTCCCTTAGGCATGCCTACAGTGCCAGCTCTGTCCCAGCCTCTGATTGACTTCCACCAGCGGGATGCAATGGCCAGTGAGGCTCACCTGGGTTCAGGTATTATTACTTTAGATAATGACTAAGTAGGGTTCCCAGATTGGCATTTCAGAGACAAAGCAATTATCAAAGAATAATTAAATCACAGCATGAGCGAAGCAACTTTACATCTCGCTAAGTAGTTTACTTTAGGCATTTTAACTAATTCCAGCTATCTCTGTAGACACAGGTGTCCAGATCTCATATATTCCTGTCGTCTCCTGATCTGGCGCCTGGTGGCTGGCTCTCTTCCTTCACACACACACACACACACACACACACATCGAAGCACACTCACATGTTGAACTCACCACGTACATCACTACCAGCAAGTTGACTCAGCCTCTTCTGCTAACTGCTGTTCTTACCAGATTCTGGTCACTCCTTTCTCTTTTTTTGCTCTGCTGTTCGTGCACCCGGTTCATCCATGAGCTCTGCAATCATTTTCTCAGGGGCTCTTTTTCTCCTGATGATGATCTTGGAGTTTCCTCTTAATCTGAGTAACCCTAGTCCCAAAGTGAAAGCTCTCACCCGCCGTATCCTCCTTCTATCATCACAACTGCTCTGTGGCCGCCCCAGCCTTCGTTTGACTTGAGTGTGACTGGCCAGGGCCCCAGAGACTGTCTGCTCTGATGCCACGTGGCCGTTCGGGTTCTCTCATGATAAAGGCAGGAATGACAAATATGTCAAAGGGAAGGAAGATGAGCTCAGGAAGGAGCCTCCTGTGCGATCCTGCTTTTTGACTCAAAAATTCTCCTGGCAAGTTCTTCTCAGCCAAAGATAAACCTCACAATCAAAACTAAGTTTTTGGTCATCCATTTTTCCTGGAAAGGAACAGAGGAACAGCTCAGCATTTGAAACTTTACAGTGTGTCAGTTGCCAAAGCAAAAGAGAAATGGGACTTTATAACAATTCATTATTAAATATAATACACATAGAAGAAAAATGCCTGATTTTTTTTAATCCTTTTTTTTTTTTTTTGAGAGAGAGAGAGAGCAAGTGTGCATGTGTGCACAAGCAGGGACAGTAAGGAAGGGGCAGAGGGAGAGGGAGAGAGAATCTCAAGCAGACTCCCCACTGAACATGGAGCCTGACATGGAGCTCTATCCCAGGACCCTGAGATCATGACCTGAGCTGAAATCAGGAGTCGGATGCTTAACCAACTGAGCCACCCAGGCGCCCCAATTTCTTTTAATGCTTACGCTAGGCTTTTAATGCATCGATATTAGTTTAGAATAAAACTTTAAAGAGAAACCTGTAGGGACAACATGATTTGGGGGATTTAATAAGATAAGGAAAGAAAAGTCCATAACTCTATCTATCTATATACATGTACACACACACATTTGTGTATTTCCATTATGTATATTTATATTTATGTATATTTATATAATATGAAGCATAAGCAAATACATAATATTTTATAATATATAAATACATAAAATAATAAAATATATAATCAGCATATATAATCCTGGCATAATCAAAAAGGACATTTTAAAAAATTCTGTATGACGAGATATCTATTTGAGGCAGTCACATTGAAGCAAACAAACTCTGACAATCTAGGGGCCAGCTGGGTGGAGGGAATTGTCCTTCTATACTTCCCAGTAGGCATTCTCCCCCGGAAATTTAGACTCCTTCCTGGCTTCACAGAGTCACAACCCAGAGAGCTGGAATAGGTCCAGAGATGAGTTAACAGGCTCTAAGAAGAAGGGCTACCTTCAAGGTTTACCTTGAAGAATGGAAGGTTCAAGGACTCCCAAGAGCTGTCTTCAAATGTATGAAGGCTGAAACAGGCATGGGACTAGCCATGTTTTCACACACCCCAGAGGTTGGTGCCCCGACCAGTGGGAGAAAGATTTTGTCCCAATGAAATGATTTTCTAATAGTAAGAGCTTCTCAGATGGGACCAGTCTTTCAGGAGGAAATAAATTTCCCTTCATTTCAGATGCTCAGAATAAGCTGGTTCATGCATGACATGGAGGTGCAAGGTGGAGGGTTGAGTATCATGTGTCTGTTTGAGAATGTAGGTGGGGGTGTGGCCATGTATGGGTTATTCAGAAAATGGGGGTTTAAATGGATGACCTCCTAGGGTTCCTGTGGCCCTAGGTGGCTGTAATAAATTGCCATGGGCAGATTATTCCTCTAAGTCCTCCTTTTTGACGTATCTAGTACAGCCAATCCAGTGCATCCATGGATTCACTTTATTTTATTTTTTAACAACCAGTGAGTGCATATGGGTGGAAAGAGGCTAGCCTGGGGTTAAATGTGGGTTTATCTTAATCACTGCCCTTACTAGTGGTGTGACCTCTGGCAACTCTAAAACTCCTTTAGGCCATTATATCCTGCGTTTATAAAATACAATCTTAGGATAACCCAGATCTAAAATTCTCTCCTTATCTAAAATGTTATGACTATATAAGCTACTCATAAATGAGCCTAGACATTTTATGCATTTATTAGTTTTGGCCAGTGCAAAAAAAACTGGAGAAATATCCACACCTAGTATCATGACGCAACTTCATACCTGAAGGACTGTTGAATGTAGACATGGACCTACAAACAGGAGCTGCTTATTCTCCAAACAGCATCTTCTACTTCCTGGAAGAATCTTGGGTGAGCATTTGAGGAAGAAATAACACGTATGCTTACTTAAAGCAATGATTTTATTACCACCAATGGTGCACGTAAGAACTGGACGCTTGTATTTGAATCGTCACATTTGTTTGCGGTGAGATTTCTCCTGGCAGCTTCTGGTCATTACGCATCTGCCTCTCAAGCAGCACCCCCTTTTCCTCCCCTGACTTCACTCCCATCCGAGTTCCAAGGCTTCCTGATTATTAAACTGCAGAGAGTTCAAATTTGCTATCACACAATTGGAACTAATTGTCTGAGACGATTTACATCCATCAGTGCAAGGTTTATGGCTTTTTAGACTGAGTGGAAGATGAATAAGTAACAGAGCGTGAGTCATTACTCTGTTTTATTACTTGTGATGTGCTGGGTAATCTGAAAATAATTTGGGCACTATAGCTTTTTCAAATAGTGGACATCTGTCAAGTTACAGGTTTTGATGGTATTTTGCAATCTGTCCACTCACACCCTTTACAGTCGCTACCCTAAAACCAAGGAATGGAGCTTTTATTTTCTTTTCTTTTTTTTTTTTAAGTAAGAAATTCTGTTGGAGAAGCGAGAGTAACTTTCACTCAGTGGATTACCCTTCTGGTCATGTGGGCTTCCTTTCTCAGTCCCTATAATCACTGCCCTGCTCCGCTCACACGCTCCACCCTTTTTCTGCTTACATAATGGACACAGAGGGAGACAGTATCACCCTTCCCATCTCTCTGCTTGGATGAGAACGTGCCCTGCCAACCAACCGATGCTGGCCTCCATTCCCTTTCTTCCGTGTGGATGGGTGGGCTGGCTCACCAACTCGGGCTTTCACAAGCGCACTTTATTTATTTATTTTTTAAGATTTTATTTATTTGACAGAGAGAGACACAGCGAGAGAGGGAACACAAGCAGGGCGAGTGGGAGAGGGAGAAGCAGGCTTCCCGCTGAGCAGGGAGCCCGATGTGGGGCTCGATCCCAGGACTCTGGGATCATGACCTGAGTAGAAGGCAGACGCTTAACGACTGAGCCACCCAGGCGCCCCACAAGCGCACTTTAAAGTACCTTAAAATATCTACAAAAAATGGTATCTTTCACCTGCTTTTAGGGAAGTGTTTTCCTAGTTAAATAGTTCTCACTGTTTGGAAATTTCCCCCTGATTCCGATTTGTTTTTATACTTATTTTTACAAAATCCTTTCAGCTTTATAATTTTTCTGGCTTTATATTACCCACAGAGCTAGTGGACTGTTGTTTGGTCCATTTATTGAAATTGATCCATAAAGATTTTTTGGTCAATTCCTAGCTGCCTCTGGAGAAATTCTTGGACGTGTGTCACCATGTATAGAGGACAAAATCTACACTGAGCTTCACACAGGCTTAGAGGGAAAAAAGGTGAGAACATGGCTAAATTTATCTGAGAGAAGTAACGTACAAGGACATGAGGTTCAGATAAACCTGAGCCTGTGCGGCAGACTGCACTATGATTTTATGCTGCAAGCCATTAATCCTGAGAACATAGGACATCATGGAACTCGGATTTTAGGAAGAATGCAGCAGGCAGAGACACAGTGCGGATGTGACATTGAATAAATGTCACATCAATACAAAGTTATTGACTGACTCAGTGCCTGGGTGCATGGAGGGCGGAGGACAGTCTAGTCAGGTCTCAGGGGACGTGCAGTCAGCAGGACAAACGGACATGGCACAAGGGGGCATGGTGCCAAGCGGGGTCACTCAGGGATGCTCAGGGTGCACAGGAGCATCCATTTCTTTCTTTCTTTCTTTCTTTCTTTCTTTCTTTCTTTCTTTCTTTCTTTCTTTCTTTCTTTCTTTCTTTCTTTCTTTCTTTCTTTCTTTCTTTCTTTCTTCTTTCTTTCTTTCTTTCTTTCTTCTTTCTTTCTTTCTTTCTTTCTTTCTTTCTTTCTTTCTTTCTTTCTTTCTTTCTTTCTTTCATTTATTAATTTGATAGAGATAGAAAGCAGAGAGATCACAAGCAGGGAGAGCAGCAGAGGGAGAGGGAGAAGCAGACTCCCCACTGAGCAGGGAGCCCGATGCAGGGCTTGATCCCAGGACCCTGGGCAGACGCTTAACGACTGAGCCACCCAGGTGCCCCTGGTATTCAGTTCTTACAATGTTTTCCTAGGTTGTGGATTGAAAACATGTTGTGCTCACAACAACAAGTAATAAACAATGGTTTATGAATTGTGCATCATGCGGAGACGCTAAGGAGGTCGGGATGGTGTTACTGGGTACTTACCCTGTGACAGCAGCTAAAACAGTAGTGACAAGAATAAGTCATCTTCTCTCTGTCCTCCCCACCAGGCTGTGAGGTAGCCTTTTTATAGCAGGGTTCAAAGAACATTGATATTTAGGCGGATTACCACCTTGCCTTACATTTACCTTGCATCAGATATGTGCCTGAGACAAACAGCTCCTTGAAAACCTCTGACTCTGTCACACTGTAAACACAAGTTTTGTGAAATGGGTTGAATGGCTTCGCTGGAGGTAGGTCCCTCTACCTTTCCAAGTGTCTAGGTTACTCTTGCATCAGACCCATCCACCGGGATGTTACGCACTTCAACACTATTAACTTAGTCCTTCAGAAAGTGCCTTTGCTGAATTCTGTTTTGGAAGATTGCTATGAACATTGGTGCTGTGATATTCACTCTTGCATTCTATGAAATAGCATTTTGGGGACAAAGACAAACATACCCCTCAAGTCCTCTATCAAGTTTAGTGGGACAAACTTCTTGAGCGAAATCAAAGTAAGTGGGTTATGGTTGATTAAAAACCAGCACATATGTAATAACATGGTAAGATGATATCCCAATAGTATCATATTTGTATCTCGGACTATTAAAATATATCTAATTTGTTGAGGGGCTATTTCTGTGTACTCAATATAACAATATATTGATTTAGGAGAAAATACTAAAAGTGGGGCGCCTGGGTGGCTCAGTCGTTAAGCGTCTGCCTTTGGCTCAGGTCATGATCCCGGGGTCCTAGAGCCCCATGATCCCAAACCTAGGCCCC